ACTGCGAGGGCTGGCCAGGCCAGAGGCGTCCAGCCGGCTCGCGAGCTGTCCACCCACAACTGCCCCACCTCCTCCCGCTCGGAGCCAGGCCTGTCCCCTGCTGGCTCCACACATTGAGGGGACCCAGGCCTGCACCCCCACTCACCCGCAGGCTCCTCATTGGGGGGGGCAAGGCTGAGGGTGCGGCCCACAAACAGGTGCAGGTCCAGCAGGTAGGGAACCTCGGCCGGGGACACCAAGGAGTAGGCTGTGCCGCTCCGGCCAGCCCGGGCCACACGGCCTGCAGGAGAGGCGACGCTCAAGTTGCAGTACAGGAGAGGGTCCCATGCCAGCGTGAACCGGAGGTGCTGCCCCTAAGGGCTGAGCTGGGGCCCGGTCCCCTGAGCTGCTCTTCCCACCCAGGGAAGGAGACAGTCAGTCATGGCCTCAGGGAAAGCGTGGGAGCCAAAACAACTCGAGAATTTGGCAAAACAAAGAACAGTGCACTGCCAATAACCAGTACCAAGTCTTTGGCAGCCCCACCTCTGAGAATACCCCCCCAAATTATAAAAAATACAAAGATTCACATGTATAAGGGCTTAGGACAGCCCTGACTGGAACATCCCACACTGGACACTACCTAAAGGCTGAAGGCTGGTTAGGTTAGTAACTGATGACAAGGAGGCATTAAACAGCTGAGGAAAGGGTGGGCCCAATCTGGCCCCCTGCTTGTTAGTGTCAATAAAGTTTTATTGCCACAGCCACATCCAGTTACTCATTTACATGGTGTTCATGGCAGCTTTCCTACCACTGCATATTCAGCAGTCATGATGGTACAGTGACTAAAACAAAAATACCGAATACCTAGCTTTTCCCAGGAAAGTGTCAGAGTGACACTTTAGAGTAAATGACAGGATTCCTAGCATTCACTGATACTAGTCAGAGCAAGTTACAGAAAAGAACATCCACACAGAACTCCAATATTGTATTAAGTGTACTTCCAAATGCATCATCATATTTCAGCCTGTTTCTAGATCTTTTTTGGTTTGTTTACTTTTGAGACAGTGTCTCCCTATGTAGCCCAGGCTGGCCTCAAACTCAGTGATCCTCCTGCCTCAGCCTCCCGAGTGCTGGGATTACAGGTGTGCACTGCCATGCCCAAGCTATTTCTGTATCTGAGGAGAACTAGGTGTCACATTTGGAGGTTTCATTGAGGTTTATGCTCTTGATCATCTAGTACATGTGGGGCCTGGACACACAAAACAGTCCCACAGAGCAATGGGGACTAGGGGACAGACAGAAGGCATGGACCCTGGCCTGGGACCCTCAAGGGGTAGGGAGGGGACCCTCTGCAACCCTAGGCCACTTCCAGCCCGGCAGCCAGAACATGTTTACTCCACCTGCCATGGGCAGCCACGTAAGGGGAGGGCACCGGGACCCTGCTCAAGCCCCGTACATACCCGCATTTATAACACAAGTGGTAGTCAGTCAAAAATACCACGAATGGGCTGGGGATTTAGCTCAGTGGTTCTGCCAACTGCCTCGCAAATGGAAGGAGCCGAGTTCGATCCCCGGTACCAAAAAAAAAAACCGAACAAACAAACAAAAAAAACAACAACAAAAAAAACAAAAAACCCACAAATGAAGAACTTCTGACAGCAAAACACTCCCCTCACATCAGACACACTTAACCCATCATTTTGCCACTTTCAGAAGCAGCTGTGGAAGTCTCTTCATGTCTTTACTTGTCCCACTCTGGTTGCCCTGGTCCTGAATCGATCCAAACTGTTTCCCTTTCACGGTTATTCTGATGCGGGAAGAGCCGGTACCCGGGGCCAGATCCAGGGAGCAGATGGCTGAAGACTGCAGTGCTCCTGAGAGCTGCCTTTGCTAGATGGTGCTCGGTGGCAGCAGTCACCATTACTCCGGTCACATTTTATAAAGACAGACGAAAGAGGCTTCCAGAACTACTTCAGGAAGTGGCCAGAGGCTGGGTGTGGTGGAGCACGCCTGTGATCCCAGCACTCGGGAGGCTGAGGCAGGAGGACTGCACGGCAAGACCCCGAGGCACAAGAATGGGATGAGTGAGTTCGAAGTTCGGGTCTGCTGGGGTTAGTGGTCAAAGGGCAGTGAGTGAGAGCGCGGGATCGGGGGCCCCTGGGACGCCAGCGTTCCTCACCCACACGGTGCAGGAAGAGCTTGCCCTTGGCAGGGAAGCTGTAGTTGATAACGTTGTCCAGCAGCGGGATGTCCAGGCCGCGCGCGGCCAGGTCGGTGACGATGAGCGTGGAGCACTTGCCGTGCACGAACCTGGCCAGGTTGATCTTGCGGGCTGTCTGGTCCAGGGCGCTGTAGATGTGGGCGCAGCTCATGTGCTGGGTACACAGCAGCTGCACGGGCGGAGGCGGGGGTGAGAGGAGGGACCAGGCCGCGGTGGGCGCAAGGCCATGACGTGTACGGGCGCCTCACTGTCCTCACCACGGAGGGGACAGCGGCTCTGCTCTGTAGCTGCTGATGTTCAGTGGGTCAGAGTGCCCAGTGCTGGCTGCGCTCCCCGAAATCTACTCCCTCAGCCTCGTTCACGGCACAGCAGACGCACGAGGACCACAGAGCAAGGGGACAGGGGAGCCACATCCCGAGAGTACCGGGGTGGCTGGGCGGGGACCTGGGCCCCTCTGCGCTGCATCCACGGGGCAACAGGCACACGCCTGAAAACACTACAAGCACTCACAGTGCCCTGTGACAGTCAGGCCTCCGATCTCCCCTAAACCCTGCCTGGCGGCACATGGCTGTCGTCCCCCACTCCAGGATGAGACAGGAGGAGAGAAAGTCCGAGCCCAGCCTGGGCAACGCAGCAAAAGCGCTCTCTCAAAATTTTAAATATTTAGATATGCCCAGGACTTAATCTGCAATACTGCAAAAGTAAATACATAAAATAAAATTAAAAAAATAAAACTTCCAACACACCGCAGAACTGAGATGGAAGGCAGGGTAGGAGGGGAACCAAGACCGGCCAGGGGCTGCTGGCAACAGCAGCGTCCCGCGGCGCTGCCGCCCTCTGGTGGCCGCACTTGGAAGTGCAGCGCAGGCGGGAGCCGGTCCCCACCACCTTGCAGCCACTCACCTCAGTGAGGTATTCGGCGTGGTGCTTGGTGGCCACAAACACCACGGTCTGGTCCTGGGGCCGCACCACAGTGCGCAGCAGATGCAGCAGCACAGCAGCCTTGGTGTCCTCACGCACCAGGAGGAAGGAGGTCTGGGGGGACAGAGGCAGGTGGTGGGCATTCGGGGTCCACAGGCACCGTCCTGGCCCTGGGCCTGGGGACGCCAGGTCCACCTCACCTTGAGCTGTTCGTTGAGCTTGGCGTCCACATCCAGCCGGATGAGCACGGGCTCCGTGAGGCCTGCAGCAGGCACAGGAGGCGGGGCGTCACTGAGGGGCAGGAAGGGACCCGAGCCCGGGCGACACCAGCGCTGCCCCTCGCTCACCCGCGCGGGCGAACTCCACCAGCAGCTTGGGCAGTGTGGCCGAGAACAGCACCGTCTGGTGGCCCCCAGGCAGGCGGCTGATGATCTCTTGCAGCTGCTCCGCAAAGCCCATCTCAAAGAGCCTGGGGACAGCAGAGGGAGGGTCACCAGGGCGCCGGTCACCCATCACGCACATCTGCCACGGGTACCTGTGCCACCTCACCTTTCCTTTGGGTTTGAGACAGGGTCTCGCTATGCAGCCCAGGCTGGCCTTGAACTTGTAATCCTCCTGCCTCAGCCTCCTGAGTGCTGGGTGACAGGCATGCGCCACCACGCCTGGCTCCCAGCTTTCAACATTGTTCTATTTCTAATCTCTTTGGGTTTTTTTTTTTTTTTTTTTTGTACCGGGGATTGAACTTGGGTCCTTGCGCTTGCAAGGCAGGCCACCGAACCACTGAGCTAGATCCCCGGCCCTCTAATCTCTTTGGGATCAGCTGCCTTCCCAGGCCTGTCCCGTGCTGGGCACACCTGCGGCTCACCTGTCGGCCTCGTCGAAAACCACGTACTCCACACTCTGTAGCTTCAGGCTCATCTCCACGACCACGTGCACCAGCCGCCCTGGGGTGGCGATGATTCTGGAAGAGGGTGCACAGGCCGGGTCACCCCTCTAGTGCCCTCTGGGAAGGGACCCCGGAGCACACCCCAGGGCACAGACTCACATGTCGGGGTTCTCGTGCAGGGCTGCGAACTGGTCCTCCATTCTGGGGAGGAGAGGAGGGTGAGCAGGAGGGAGCAGGGCTCTAGTACCAAGTCCCGAGCACTGCCCCAAACACAGGCCAAGGGACAGCCGTAGCCGTGACGCCAGGCGAGGGCACTGCCCTGGTCACGGAGAGGAGCTGGATCAAGCAGAGAGCTCAGGGCTCCCCGGGACCCAAGGCTGCCACCGAGCAACCAGCCCTGGGACTGCAGGCTTCACACAGAACCCCGGGTCCTCTCCTCTCGATGTGTCTGTCCTTAAAGCTCTGGGGTGCACACCCCTAACTCTGGCCACCCCGGAGATGCTCTTGGGACAGCCGCAGGAGCAGGATCCCGGGCTGCTGTCTCGGAAGGACAGTGTGAGCAAGCCAGGAAACGACCCTTTGTTTTGTTTTCTGAGACAGGCTCTCACTGTGTAGCACAGGCTGGTTTCAAACTCACGGTGATCCTCCTGCCTCAGCCTCCACAGTGCTGGGGTCCCAGACGTGAGCACCATGCCTCCCTAGAATGGTAAGGTGACCCCTGACCTTTGTACATCCTGCTTTTTGCTGTTTTTGTGGCACTAGAGATGGAACCCTAGGCCAACAGCGCTGCACCCCATCCCTGTCCCTACATTTGGGCGGCTCTTGGGCTCTCCGGGAGTGAGGCCCCCCAGGACCCAGGCTTTAGTTGCCCTGGGCCACCATGATTCCCCGGTGTGCACCCCATTACTAAGAAGCACGACACGGGGACCACGCGTGTGCTGAGGCTGGGACCTGGGGAAGGGCCCTTACTTGTCCCCGCCCAGGATCAGGGCTGTCTTGAGGCCGGTGAACTTGCCCAGCTGTGGAGGGAGAGAGGGGGACACTGTCAGCCACTCAGGGCCCTAGCCTGGCCCCAGCCCCAGCCCCTCCCCGCCGCACCTCCTTGGTGAACTTCATGGTCTGCAAGGCCAGCTCCCGGGTGGGCGAGAGGACGAGGGCGCGGGCGCCGCTCTGGGCGCTGCGGGTCTTGAGCCGCTCGAACATGGGGATGAGGAAGCATGCCGTCTTGCCGCTGCCTGTCCGTGCCATGGCCACCGTGTCCTTGCCGTCCAGGATCACTGGGATGGTCTGCGGGGACACAGACGGGGCAGGCTCATTCCCTTGTGGGAGAACAAGGGGTCTCTGCGAATGGACAGGACCATCACCCAGCCCCAGTCCCATTCCTGCAAACAGCGGTTGGCACACTTCCAGGGACGGGCAGCTCACTACCTACAAAACAGGCGAGCCCTGCGGTGTTTCAGCCCCCATGACAGGAAGCGGCCCTGCCTAGGCCCGGCCCTTGGCTTCTCACCTTCCTCTGGATGGGCGTCGGCACTTTGTAGCCTTTCTTCATGATGCCCTTGAACACCGGGTAGCTCAAGCCTGGGGGAGAACAGGGGCACAGGTCAGGGCTGGGGGAACTTTACAGGACACAGGACCGGCTCACCAAAGGGTTCGACAGCAAGAGAAAGAAAGTGCGAAAGCACAGACGTAGGGCGTACACCTGTAGTCCCAGCATTCAGGAGGCCGAGGCAGCAGGGCCGAGAGTTTGAGGCTACACAGATCTCGTCTCAGAAAAATAAAAAGGTGCTAAGATGAAGTGTGACCCCAGAGTCTCCCAACTGCAAAAGGTGAAGCTCATCTGGACTCTGGCCTGGACACACTCAGGGCCATGAGACAGATGCTGACTGTGCTCTCGGGGTAAGGCCCCGGGTCTCCCGGACAGGTGCAGCTGTGGTGGGACACGGGGCTGAGCTGTCTGGGGTGGGCACGAGACCCACTACTCTCTACTTCCCCACAGGCTCCAAATTCTCGATCATTTAAAAAAGAAAGATGCCGAGTCCCCGGCCCCGATGAGGGTGAGACGTGGGGTGCCGGGGGTGGCGGCTCCGGGCACAGAATCGGACTGGAGCTGTGGATGCCGGGGGCCTTAGCTGCTTTCCAGCCAATCCTTCCTCTCTGGGACACAAAAGGCAAAATCCAGCCCCAGGGAGCTGATTTCATTCTTGCCGTTGGTGGTGAAGTTGGGCGCAGCGCGGTTGTTGGTCTGACTCACGGCCTCTGCAGAAGGACTCACCCACCGCATCATTTTTACCACCCAGCTCTCCCCAGGCTGCGTCTCTTTATGTGTGCGGGGTGCTGACCTGTCGGTCCCAAGGGTTGCAGACATGGTCCCCGTGGGGCTCTGGAGTGCTTGTTGGCTTACACATTCAATTCAAAAACAGTTAAAAGAAAGGGTCTGCAGGTCACATCTGGAAAGGCCTCCTGTTCCTCTCCGAGGCTACAAAGACAGCACCTTAGCTCTACTGACTTACGTCCATAAACTGTGCTACGTACCAGCCAAGATTCTATGAGCCAAGCTCTCTACCACTGAGCTCCACCCCCAGCCCTTTTATTTATTTATTTTTTAATTTTTTGGGTGGTACTGGGGATCAAACTCAGGTCCTTGTGCTTGCGAGGCAGGCCACCGAACCGCTGAGCTAAATCCCCGGCCCCCCCAGCCCTTTTATTTATTTATTTTTTAATTTTTTGGGTGGTACTGGGGATCAAACTCAGGTCCTTGTGCTTGCGAGGCAGGCCACCGAACCGCTGAGCTAAATCCCCGGCCCCCCCAGCCCTTTTATTTATTTATTTTTTAATTTTTTGGGTGGTACTGGGGATCAAACTCAGGTCCTTGTGCTTGCGAGGCAGGCCACCGAACCGCTGAGCTAAATCCCCGGCCCCCCCAGCCCTTTTATTTATTTATTTTTTAATTTTTTGGGTGGTACTGGGGATCAAACTCAGGTCCTTGTGCTTGCGAGGCAGGCCACCGAACCGCTGAGCTAAATCCCCGGCCCCCCCAGCCCTTTTATTTATTTATTTTTTAATTTTTTGGGTGGTACTGGGGATCAAACTCAGGTCCTTGTGCTTGCAAGGAAGGCCACTGAACCGCGGAGCCAAATCCCCGGCAAAGTTATATGTAAGTATGACTAAGGAGTTTTGATAACAGGCAGGCGTGCGCCACCACTCCCAGCTCTCATTTTAGTTTAAATCTTTGTCCCAGCAGCTAGGGACTTGTAAAGCCATGTGTGAGGCCCCCGGTGCTGGCACGGTCTCCCCACCCCTACCACAGTGTGGGGCCAGAGCAGGTGTCAGTGACAGAAGGCAGAGGCAGGCTGGTCTCCCGCTGCTGTCCCCACTCCCAGCCCAGCTCGATTACGCACCCATGGACTGGAAGCCCCCAGACTTCTTCTTCTTCTTGTTCTGTGCCCGCACCATCTCCCACATGTCTGGCTCCATGTCCGAGGTGCCCTCTGCGGAGGGGAAACTGGGCAGGGGTTGGCCAGGACCTGGCTGGGTGGGAGAACCAGAGAGGCGATGTTACCTGTCTTTTTTTTTTGACACTAGTAGGGATTTAACCCAGGGGCTTTGCACTGAGATATATTCCCAGTCCTTTTTTAGTCTTTATTTTAACTTTAGTTCATTAGTACATGGGTACCTAAATTGCCCAGGCTGGGCTTGAACTTGTGATCCTCCTGCCTCAGCCTCCCTGAGTGCTGGGATTACAGGCATGCGCCACCATGCCTGGCTATCAAATATGGTAATCTTTTTTTTTTCCTCCTGTAGTTTCTTGAGGTAGGTGCTTATAGAAACCTTTAAAAATTAATGTAAATCAATTTTCCTGTGAATATTATTTAGGCATCTTTCCACTGGTACTTCTATTACTACTTTTTTATTTTAAGTATTTTCATTTTTTAACTATTACATTACTTTAGAGGCCAGCTATTCTGGTTTGGTTTGTTTTTGTTGTACCAGGGATTGAACCCAGGATCTTCTCACTGAACTATCCCAGTGCTTTTTTTTTTTTTTTTTTGGTATCAGGGATCAGACTTTGGTCCTTGCACTTGCAAGGGAGGTAGCAGAACCACTGAGCTAAATCGCCACCTCCCAGCACTTTTTTAAAATTTCATTTTGAGCCAGGGGCTCCTGATGTTGCTAAATTGCCCAGGCTGGGCTCAGCTGGGCACAAAACTTGTGATCTTCCTATCTCAGCCTCCCAGGGTGCTGGGATTTCATGCATGCTAAACAGGTGCTCTACCACCAAACTACACTTCCATCCTTAAATATGTTTGTTTCTGTTTTTTTTTTTAATGCGGTTTCCTCTATCCTGGCAAACAAAAAGTATGTGTTCAGTGTCCACTTAAAACATATCCCTGGAGCCTGAGAAAGAAGGGTCACTTGCGCTCATGAGTTTGAGACCAGATTGGACAACCATAGCAAAAGGCCATTTCATAAACAAAAGCCATCTCTGGGCATGGTGTGGTGATGCACACTTGTAATCCCAGCACTTGGGAGACTGAGGCAGGAGGATCTCGGCAAATTCAAGGCCAGCCTGTGCTGCATAGTGAGTTCAAGGGCAGGCTCAAATATATAATGAGACCCTGTCTAAAGGAAATAAATTAATAAAGTTAAACATAAATAAAGTATCCCACCTCTCTCCTGTGCTAAGGATCAAAAGCAGGAGTGCTCTACCACTGAGCTATATCCTCAGCCCCTTTTATTTGACAGGGTCTCACTAAATTTCCCAGGTGGGATTCAAACTTGTGATCCCTCCTGCCTCAGCCTCCATAGATGCCCGGATTACAGGTGTGTGCCACCACACCTCGCTTAAACCTGTTCTCTCTTACTCCCTGGATGGTCTTTGCTTTTCTACCTGTATACTGGTAGAAGATAAGCGACAACAAGGCCAAAGGATTTGGGGTATGTCGGGTGTATCCTGTCACCTGAGCTACTGAACAGCCAGTCCATCCTTTTCCAGAATGCAGCTGTGATCAGAAAGGAAGGACGAGTGAATGGACAGAGACCCGTTACACCTAGAACATGGTCGGATGCGGGAGAGCCAAGGCTCTAACAGCGCACTCACGACCTAAGCAGTGTGGCCAGTCGGCCGGAGGTCCAGGGATCCAGCCCTCCTCTCGGTGGTGATGAGCCATTTGTATAAAGTCAAGCAGCTTCTACCCAGTGCCCCAGACAGTGCAGGGTCGGGCCACATTTGAATACAGGTCCGGGCCTCTGCACTGCCTTTGGCCGGAGCCACAGTAACAGTTTCTTCTCTGGCCCTCGCTGCCTGTGTCTACCTGAGTTCTGGTCCGTGGTCGCTTCTCCACCTCCACCCGGCTCCTGCTGAGAGCGGCGTGGGAAGAAGATGGATGAGGTCTCAGCAGTCCCTGCCTGGGGGGGTGTGGTCTATTCCCTTTATGCCAACGTTCACGCACTCATCCCAGCGCCTCAAGCCCGCTCGGTGCCCACCGCTGGTCACAGAGCGGTGGGGATTCCTGGGACACCTCTCCTCCGCCACCTCGGTGCCCACACCTGTCTCCCTCATCGCATACATTGGGCACTCAGGGATAGACGCTGTACAGTAAGTGATCAACAAGTACAGTACAGGTGTAATTTGTTATTCGTGTCCCCGAGGTCTGGGGCATCGGCGCCTTCAGCTCCAGGGTCCGGCTCCCCCTTAAGGCAGTCTCCCACGCACACCCCGGAACTCTGCAAGTCAGACCTTCCGCACGCGCACTCCCCATTGGACGAATGGGCACTGGGGCCCGACCCCAGGGTGGGGTAGCCAATGAGGTCGCGCCATCCGGGGCCGGCAGGAAGGCCCTCAGGCTCCAGAGCCCAATGGGGAAGCTCGCCCGCGGGTGCTACAGGCCCCGCGACACGGGCTCAGACCAGCAGCCCGACGGACTCTCCGCCCCACGCGGGGAAACCGAGGCCCCGACATGCGTCCTAGCCCCGCGCTCCTACCTTCCGCGCCCGGGCGTCATCTTCCGCCTGAATCTCAAACTCGCCATCCTCCGAGTCGCTGTCGTGGGCCTGGGAGACTGCGCCCCGGCGCTTTCGGAGTCCCTTCTTCTTCTTCCACTGAGCCATGGCAGCTGGCGACCGCGGTCCAGCCGCCGCACGCCTGCCGGCCGCCATGCGG